TGGCTATTGCAACAAATATCCCCCAGCCAGCGACTTCTGCTTTTGTGCTCCAGGGTCACATATTTGTATGTTGCATATTTTATGTATATGAGTTAGTGCATTGTTAGTTTAACAACATGCAAATGTCAAACTCTGTTGAAATGCATCGCTAGATTGCTCAGATCAACCACTTTTCAGCAACAGAGCTAGTGTGTGTGTGTGTGTGTGTGTGTGTGTGTGTGTGTGTGTGTGAGTGTGTGTGTGTTCTGTGCAGTCAGCTGAAGTCCTGATTGATTTCAGGGGTTTTAATAAACTCAGCGGGCCGTGGGTGAATTTCTCAGACACACACTGATGAGTTCAACACACAGCAGAAAACTAATCACCGTTAACTCCACTACAAACCAACTAAAGACTAGTACTTTTTTCATTTTCTCTCACTAATTCTAAATTAAAGTGCCGTTTTTACAGAGAAATCATTAACATTCAAAACTAAGCTGATTATGAGGTAAATGCATTGCTATGATCTAGGGATGCACGATATTATCGGACCAATATCGGCCGATAATGGCTTTAAATGTAAATATCGGCCTGATATGAAAAATTATGCCGATATGTCTTGCCGATAAGAGGAATATGTTAACTCACATGTGCTCAGGGTGTGCTAGCGATTAGATCAGGTCAGCATTGTGGTTCATTCTTGAAGCAAAGTTTGCCTGAATGGTGATTGGACTCACTGTTTTGGATCGCTGCATTTAAACTGAGAAGCACGTACAGAATGCGTTCGGTGTATGATAGAGTAAACAGTAATAGCACGTGCAGCGGCAGCCTCCCCCGGGTCCTAAAGCCTGCTCAGTAAGGAGTTTTAATCTGCACGGGGCGCTGTTGGCCTACTTCTAATAAAATGACAGCAAAATACACATAATATTTAGACTGTGTTTCTGATTAAATAAAGCAGTAATTGATGCCATAAAATCATGAGTATGTTTTGATTTAAAGGTCAGAAGCTATAGCTTACATGAACAAAAAAAAAATCATATATACTGCACTTATCATTAAT